TTCTGTTGCTTTAGGAACATAAAATATGACTATGGACATTTTTACTTGGCATGAAATTATCACAACTAGCATATTAAAAATATAGTGTGTCCAAACAATCAGGGGTCATTTCGCAGAAAAAGAGGTGCAGGAGCTCAGTAGCATAACTCATTAGCATAATTTATTTGCATATGCCACACCCCCTGACATCACCGGAAGTGTGTCAGAAGGCAACACCCACCGCTCAGGCTCCACTGGACTGTTTTGGATTGCTAGCTATTGGGGGGAGGGGGAATGTGCAGATCTGTCCTCACAGAGGAGGGAGAGCTGGTACCTGAATAAAACTTGGTCTTAAAGGTGCCACTGGACTGTTTTGGACCGGGGGGGAGCTCCACAACTTACCTGGCTGCTTCTTGCTCTGACTGAGGGCTGCTGGGAGCAGGGGGTGGGGCTTGTTGCATGTGCCCGCCCCTTGGGCTCTTTACTGCCGGAGCTCTGCTCCTGTGTGCTCCTGCAGGAAATGACCCCTGGCAGTAAGGAGGCCAAAGCAGAGCAAAACATCAGTGTGGAAACCGCGTAGGTCAGAGGGGAAAAGTGGCCAGGCCACTTTACTGACAACATCTTGGAGCAGAAGTAACGCTGGGCTGGGAACGCAGAGGTCTTGAAGGACATTGTTCTCCCCACTTTTGATGGGTTTCAGCTGACCCTTGCCGACTCAGTTAAAAGCTTTGGGGTTACACTGCGCCCAGTGTTGTTGCTGGAGAAGCAAGTTAATGCAGTTGCAGAAAAGGCTTTCTTCCAACTCAGCCTGGCTCGAAAAATGGACCCTTAATTTGGCCAGCTGGATCCATGAAGCCACTGTTCTGTACATTGGTCTCCCCTCAAAATCAATTCAAAAATGCCAGTCAGTGCAGAATGCTGCAGCTCAGCTACTATCAGGAGCTAGATGGAGTATGCATGTCACCACCAGGCTCAATTGAAAGTATTGGCTATCACATATGGCCTCGGACCCTCATAACTCCAAGGCCGTCTTTCCCGTTACGCTTTGCCACAACAGCTTTGCTCATCTGAGCAGGGCCTTCTGCAAGTGCCAACCTGCAAATGCCTAAAATCAGCATCTGTCCATACCCACACCTTCTCTGCTGCGGCCCCCACCTTGAAGAATGGCTGGCCAGAGGAGGTCAGCGAGCCCCCCCCCCCTTCCTGGCTTCCTGCAAACAAGGCCAATCTGAATTATTCACAGGTGTTTTTCTATGCAGGCAATAGGATAGCACTGGACAAAACGATTCACAACACCACTTGGACAAAACGATTCACAATGCCACAGTTAGGAACTGTGGTTCTTACCACTGAATATAGTTTGCACAAAGTTGGATCCTACTGTGTAATTCTGCAGTATTTAATGTGTCATGTCAACACATATGCTTTGCTTCAGTTCTGTTTTTGTTTTAAAGATTTTTGGTTGGTTCTACGGCCCTAATCCTGTTGCACTGTCTGTTGAATGCCCCACCCCATGGACTGCACTGACTCACTCTGTGGGGAAGGCAGACGATAAATGAAACAATGAAGTAGATTATCCTGGACACTGTAAACGCTGGCTATCCCATTGGTATACGTTGTACATTTCCCTGGGTGTCCGTAGGCAGAGAGGCACTCTTATAAATCAGATCACGAAGATAAAAGTTTTCATCTTCATAATTCCCTGTTTTGTTCTGCTTTCACAAAACATCTTTGTCTCTTGTCATTTGGTACAGGTTGAATGCATTGATGAAAGCCAAGCAAATGATGCCCTCAGAGAGGTAGTTTCTCTTCATCAGCATTGTGTATGCTGTTGTTTCTTTGCTCTTGTACACTAATGGTGCTGTCCTAAGCAGGGCCAAAGCAAATGGGATCAGAAGGATGTAACTCAGCCTAGGATTGCATTAGACCACCGCTGCTTGCTGGGAGGTTGTGTGTTATGTGAAGGAGGGTGCAAGCGATTTATTAGTAATGGTTTAAATACATAAATTTTATTTTATTTGTTGCTGGATTGATGCACACTGATTACTTCCTAGCTTCTCTTTTTTGTTAATTTGATTATTTGTATTTAAATGCAAAAATGTAGTTGGCATTACCTTTATTTTTCTATAATGGCAGCCATATATCCATGTATGGCTGTCTAGTATAGATGGTGGAAGATGATAACTAGTGATGACATCATCATAACCAGAGACCAAGTTCTGTGAATGTTTTTGTTTCTTAAAGACTGAAGAACCAATGCACCAATGGAAGAAACAGAGTGTGTTAAACCCGTTCATATTAACAAGACCATAAATGAATGAGTGGATGCATCCCTGATGTGTCCACAGTTAGGCCAAGACAGACATCTGCTTCTCAAGTCGACTGCCTCCCATTCCTGTATTTTCCTCTAATTCATACTCCCAAATAATTTTAAAATGGTACCTTCTGGATGTGGAAAGAGCTGAGTCACAGGGCCGAATCATGAGGCCCCTCCAGTTGAGCTAAAATCCCTAGTCTAAAGAGACACAGAGACGATCTTTCACCATTCAATATACATAAGTTAACAAACCAAACCATGGATCTGGCTCATTAAAAAAAAACAAAAAAAAAACACCTGGTCTCCAGTTTCTTTGCCAAAAGTACAAAATAGAATGCAATCCTGTTTACAGTTACACAGGACTAAATCCCATTAAACTCAGTGGGACTAAGAACATATGCATAGATTCAGGCTGCTACAGTTTGGATGGAAACACAAGGTAGGCTTTGGAAGCTGGGGTTAATATCAACCCACCAATTTTGCTTGAATGCTTATTACCCCGCATTTTAGACCGTTTCCTCACTTGCTGTCTTCCTGACAGGCAATGGTCTTGCTGAAAGTGAAGCATCGGAACATCTGTGCCTACAAAGAATTGTTTATAATCTGGGACAACAGTGTAAGTACGAAATGGCATCTATTAAACTTGTACTTTTTTTACTTGCTTGGGAATGACTTATGGCAACTGCAGCAAGGGGCTTTCAAGGCAAGTGAGAAGCAGAGGTGGCTGGCCATCGCCTTCCTCTGCAGAGTCTTCCTTGGTGGTCTCCCATCCAAGTACTGACCCTGCTTAGCTTCTGAGATCTGATGAGATTGGGCTTTTTGGAAGGGGTGGCCAAACTTGCTCAGTGTAATAGCCACATAGAATAAACGTCAGATGTTTGAGAGCTGCAAGACATGAATATTACACGTTTTTATTTTTAAAATATGCACATTTGCTTTTTATTAACATTAAATGAGACTACCAAAAATAAAAAAGGGCTAAAAACAGATATTGATAATGATATATGTCCAATGATATTTATTTGTTTGCTAATGATATTTGTCTAAGAGAGAGAGGTGAAAAGAAAGAAGGAAAGAGGTGGAAAGAAAGAGAGAGAGAGAGAGAAACAAAGAAAGCAAATTGATGGGAGGGAGGGAAAGCACGGCTCCCCTTCGCTTCCCCAGCTGCCCTACCGGGAGCCACACAATATGTGTGAAAGAGCCGAATGTGGCTCCTGAGCCACAGTTTGGCCACCCCTGGGCTATACCATGCTGCCTCCCCTCCCCAATGGGACTTACTTCAAAGTAAACATGCATAGACTTAAGCATCCATCTCAAACTGGTGAACAGCATAGTCATGGGTGATTTGTGGATCAGTGTGCACCAGTCGATAGTGTATTAGACCAGGGGTGTCAAACATATGGCCCAGGGGCCGGAACTGCCCCATCCAGGGCTCTTATCTGGCCTGCAAGCGACTGGTGCAAGGGAGGGAAGGCAGGAGGCTGCTGGGGGGGCACACAGGCACACAAGGTGACGTGTATGAGTGGTTGAAGCTGTTAAAATGGCTAGGGGGTGTCATTCGGGGGGGAAACTAGTCTTGCATATGATTAAATACATTTATGGGGGCTTTTGTGGATTCCCCGTAAAACAATTGCTTTCATTCCCAGGAATCAATTGCTTTTGTTTGTGTTTTGAGTAAAAAATAATATCGTTAACTGGGTTTGCCTGATTCATTTGTAAAGTTTGCATCTCTGGTACCTGGCATTACATTTTACGGCAGACATGGCCTGGCACAACAAAGCAACATTTATGTCAGATCCGGCCCTTGTAAAAAATGAGTTTGACACCTCTGTATTAGACCTTGGAAATCAAGGTTCAAATGCAAGCATAACTGTGGGCAGAGGTGATCAGCAGACTGACATGACGTTCCTACTGCTGGATCGGTACCACTTCATCCTATTTGAATGCTTGAATGTTCTCCCATATTAAAAAGCAACACAAAATAAAACTCCTTCCATGGACAAGATGAGTATGTCTGGAGAAGACTTCTGAACTGTCTTCACTAATTTTCTTTTTAAGGATCTAACAGTAGGATCTTTGACGTGGTCTCTGTGCTTCACACCCATGGGATCTAGTGTGCACGCGCTGGATCGATCGGTGCTGTAGCAATCTCTTTTAATGGATTTTCGCGGCCAGTCCCTCGGGCATGCGCAGGAACCCCACCCCGCATGCCCAGAGGGGTGGGCGCGGACATCCCACCAGTTCCTTTCTTACCGCCGCGTTGAGTAGACTTCTTTTTCGTCGGTCAGATCGGTTCGCTGTTAGCTTTCGCCTCACAGCTCTTAGGAATTTTTTCCTTACTCTATTTTTCTCTTTTAGTAGTTTGTTCTTCAAAAAAGCTTTAAAAAAACCAAATAACTTTTATTTACTCTTGAGGGGGGAGTCTACCGATTCCCTCAGGCCTTCGGGCTACCCTCCCCCTCAATGTTCCCTCTTCTTCGCATCTTTTATGGAGAAGAAGTGGGGTTTTTTCAACAGGTGCAAGGGTTGCGGGAGCAAACTTGCTCCTCCCGACTGTCATACCTTCTGCATTTTTTGCCTCGGAGAGTCTCACCAGCCAGAGTCCTGTCGTCAGTGTGCTCGTTTCTCCAATCAAACGCGAAAGAACTGAGCTGCGCGCCTTAAAGTAGCGCTGCTTGAATCGGCCCTTCCTCCTGCCTCAGCGATGGAGGAGAGACCGTCTGCATTGACAGCTTCGGCATCGAGGCCTGCCTCCAATGTCGACCACCCGACACTGAAGCTCCCGACATCGAGGGCACAATTGTCCGCCTCCACGCCAGTCAAAAAGAAGGCTAAGGCAAGTAAAGATCACAAGTCCGCCTTGTGACAAAGCAATGAATTTTTGGATGGAGGTCCATAATGAGATGCAAAAAATCTTGAAATGTACCTTTAAAAAAGAACCAGAAATATTACTTTTGGGACTTAAAATGGAAGAAGTGCATGTGACAAAAAGAACATTGTTATGGTATATGATTACAACGGCTAGAATGACTTATGCTCAGTGCTGGAAACAAGAACGAATACCTGAGATTTGGGAATGGATAAGGAAATTGCTTTTTATGGCAGAAATGGACAAACTGACAAGAAAACTCAATAATAAAGATGAAGAATTCTTTGTAGATTGGATAGACTTTAAAGAATACTTAGAGAAATATTGGGATGTTAAGAACAATTTATTATGCTTTAATAATTATTAAGAATAGAATAGATTAGAAGATGATGGTAGTGAAAGAAAATGTTACCTATGAAGTAGAATATAAGAACAAGGTAGTTAAAAAATTCTTAATGCTTAAGTTTTGTTTGGATGGAATGGATTAGAAAAAGAGATTTGGTGGGGGTGGGCAATGCGGTAACACCCGTGCTTTGCCGAACGCACGAGTGGCCGCATCAAGCCCCTTGCCACCCAACCCCCCCTCGGGAGGTTGAGCGTTGCCCCCCATATTCCCGGGAGTCAGCAAAGGTAAGCCGAGTGGTGGCGGGGGTTTTGGAGCGCTCCGAAATGCGCCCGCTCGTCGCGCCGTACCGGAAGTTCTCCCGCGGTTTATGATATAGTTCAGCTTGATACCTCCTCCACCTTGGCATTACCTATGTCTTCAGTCCTTCTGCAAGCGGCGAAGACACCATGGCTAAAACCTTCGTCTGCCCCTGTGTCCACAAGACGACTGGACCACATGTACAGGGTTCAAGAGGCAGATGCCAAATTCCTCTTCTCGCACCCTCAGCCTAACTCGATGGTGATAACATCTTCCTCCAAATCCAAGAGGAAGGTAAGAAATTAGATGCCTTTGGTAGGCGCTTCTGCTCCACGGGAGCATTAGGAGTCAAGGCCACTAATTACCTGGTCTGTATGAACTGATATCAATATACTCTCTGGGAACGGTTCTCAGAACTTCTCAGCCACCTCCCAGACGACAAACTTCAGGCAGCCAGAGTCATACAAAAAGAAGGCATGGTGTTGGCAAAACAACAGCTCAACACTACTAAGCATGTCCTCGAGGTGTCTTCCAGAACTATGGCCTCTCCAGTAGCTCTCAGGAGACATTCCTGGCTCCCCAACACTAATCTGCCAATAGATACCAGATCTTATGTGGAAGACCTTCCCTTCGATGGCCTGGGACTTTTCAGTGCCACTACGGATTCTACTCTACAGGAGTTAAATAAAAGCATAAAGGCTTCTCGAGCTCTAGGAGTTTTATCCTCTGCAAAACAACCATACTGTCCACGCACCTGGTCGAGGTCCTGGCAGAGGTGTACCCCAACTCATCAGTCTCCAGAGACACGATGGAGACCAAGAACGTCTTCGGGAGGCCAAAAGCCCGCCTTCCAGAAACCAAAATTTGGTTCTGGACAACAAGCTTCCCGCACCAAACAGTCCAAACCCTCCAAACAGGGTTTTTGACTTCCCTGTCAGCTCAAACCCGTCTGTCACCTTTTCTTCAAAATTGGCGTCACATCACCTCAGACGAATGGGTACTGTCCATGTTGTCCCGAGGCTACAAAATTCAGTTCCACCAGAACCCCAACACCTCCGGCGGCGTCTCCACGCCCCCTTCCCCACCTCTCCTCGAGAAGGTGTCCGTCCTTCTGCAAAAGGGAGCCATCGAACATGTACCACCACACCTCCAAGGGACGGGATTTTATTCTCGATACTTCACAGTCCCGAAGAGAGACGGAGGCGTTCGACCCATATTAGATCTAAGGGAACTGAATCATTTTGTGACCTACCACCGCTTCTGCATGGTGTCCCTACAACAGATCATGCCATTGCTTCGCAGAAATGTCTGGATGGCCACTCTTGACCTCCAAGACGCATATTTCCACCTTACTATCCACCCCTTCCACCGCCAATACCTATGCATTGCGATTGGTCAACAGCACTACCAGTATACAGCCCTTCCATTCGGCCTGTCCAGCCTCCCAAGGGTCTTCACAAAGACTATGATTGTGGTTGCAGCTTTCCTCCGTCTCCAGGGTATCTCCATCTACCCATTTATAGATGATTGGCTTCTGGTAGCGCCTCCCAGGGACGCCCTGGTCTCCAATGTCACAGAGACTCAATACTGGATTCAAAGACATGCATGGCTTACCTGCCCCACGACAGGGCAGTAGATATCATTTCCTTAGCCACCGTCGTCCGTACCCAACCCTCCGTCACTGCCTTCCAAATTCAGAGGCTACTGGGCCTGATGCCTGCAACTACGTCAGTTCTTGTCTTTGCCAGACTCAAAATGCGCCCTTTACAGCTCTGGTTTATCCGCAACTACGACCTGTCAAAAAACGCACACACTGTTGTCCTATCCCCTCTTCCCAGCATACAGGACTCATTACTTTGGTGGACTGTCCCTTTGAATATCCTCCAGGGAGCGCCCTTCTACCCTCCATCACCTGAAGTCACCATAACGACGGATGCTTCCCTGACAGGATGGGGTGCACACTCCATGGGCCTTTCTGTTGGAGACAAATGGGACGCGCAGATGAGGAAGTGACACATAAACTTCCTAGAACTGCTGGCTATACAACACGCTATCACCAGCTTCCTACCTTTAATCAAGGGAAAATGTGTCACGGTCCTCACAGACAACACCACAGCGCTCTCTTATGTCGACAGGGAGGCACTGTTTCCCTATGCCTCTGCAACCTTGCCATCCAATTGTGGGACCTTTGCATCACCAACAACATTTTCCTCGTGGCCACTCACATTCCCAGACACATGAACGTGCAGGCAGACCATCTAAGTCGAGCAGGACTCAGCCTTCATGAGTGGGGGATGAACCCAACATACCTCCTCCCACTCTTCCACATGTGGGGAGCTCCACAAGTCTATGTCTTTGCCACCAGAAACAACAAAAAGTGTCCTCTGTTTTGCAGTCGAGGAGGCAGTGACCCACAATCTCTGGGAGATGGTCTCCTTTACCCTTGGTCCACGGGACTTCTTTACCTGTTCCCCCCCTTACCTCTGCTTCTGAGAGTGGTCCGCAAAATACTCAAGGACACCACGGACTGCATTTTAATAACCCCATGGTGGCCGAGACAACCTTGGTTTTCGACAGTCCTCGAGTTATCACAGGGGATATACCATCAATTCCCTCCGGCTCAGAACCTCCTCCTCCTCTCCTCCTCCCCTCTCTTACATCATGACATACCACAACTGAAACTGACGGCATGGAGAATAACATCACCGGCTTCTCCACCCGCGGATCGAATGTCCTGTTGAATTCCAGGAAACCTACTACGCGGAGGTCGTGCAATTATAAATGGCGAAGGTTCTGTTCTTCCCTAGGTGATGACACCCCTTGAGCGGCCTCAGTGGGGCTCAAACGAGTTTCCCAATTCCTCCTCTCCCTAGCTGACTCGGGACTTTCCCATTCATTGTTGAAAGTTTATTTGGCTGCTCTTTCGGCCTACCATGTTCCAGTTGACGGATGTACTTTGTTTTCACATCCAATTTCAAAATGTTTTTTAAAAGGTTTATTGCATCTCTACCCTCCTGTCAAGACTCCAGTCGCTCTCTGGGACCTTCCTCTAGTTCTCCGCCAGCTCACGAGGAAGCCCTTTGAGCCGCTCGCAACATGCAACCTCAAACTTCTAGCGTGGAAAACGGCCTTTTTAATTGCTGTCACCTTGGCTAGACGCGTGGGAGAAATATTGGCTTTCCAGCACGATACACCTTACCTGTTGTTTTTGCCAGACGGAGTCCGCCTCGTCCCAGACGTATCCTTCCTGCCGAAGGTGGTGTCAGAGTTCAACCTGCAGGCGGAGGTCTTCCTCCCTGATTTCTTCCCAAATCCAACATCAGCGGAAGACAAACTACTCCACACCTTGGACGTGAAACTGGTGATCTTCGAGTGGTCATCTGTGCATTCACACCACCCGCCCTCCTTCCCTGCTGCTGTCAGCTTCTACATTTTTAATAGGGGTTGATTTGCAGCGGTTTGTAGGAACTGGCGGGATGTCCACACCCACCCCTCTGGGTATGCGTGGTGGGGTTCCTGCGCATCCCCAAGGGACTGGGCGCGAAAATCTATTAAAAGAGCTTGCTACAGCACCAATCGATCCAGCGCGTGCGCACTAGATCCCATGGGTTTCAATGCACAGATGACCACTCGAAGATCACCAGTTACTGGTAAGCAACCTTTTTTCATCCCCCCCCCTTTACAGCCCAGTCCTACAAAATTAGATGCAGTAACTTAAATGGAGTTCAATGGTTAGTTACATTTGGAAATGCTCAAACTAATTTTTTCCTTGAATTAGATGGGGTAAGCGATGTGATGGTTTTGATTTTCATTTTGCTGCAGATTTCGTCCCTCTTCCTTTGTCTGGTGATGCATCACTCATATCAAGGGGATCTTTGGGCTCTGATCAAGTCAAAAAGGCAGAAGTGTGAAAAAATTCAGGACTGGGTAAAAAATATAGATTACATTAAAACAGCATTGTAAAAAATTTACACATGTTGCATTGGGGTACATTTCTCTCCCAAGCCAAATTCCAACATTTCTTAGGGTAGATAAAAATCCTATAAGGCTGTGGCGGTAGAAATCATTGGGTTGCACAGTGATTAAACACCCAGAGCTTGAAAACACACTTTGACATGAGGCAGAATGTTTGTTTTGCATAGATTCTACCTCTCCCTTTTTGCATATTGAACCACTCACACCACTGTCGTTCTTTACAAGGCTATTTTTTTTTATTTAGAACAATGAAAGCAATGGCTAGAACCTAAGATATTGAACAACTAATGTAAAATTTCATGAATTCTAAAGGAAAACATTAATTAACAACTAAAATTAATAATTCCTAATGTTTTTGATACTTGGGATATTTTTCTGCCCAATCTCTCTGTGGTGAGATAGGTATTCTGCACATTGTCAGGAAGGGTCTTCAGCAGGCTGCCAGGCAGGGCTGTATCTCTCCAGAGTCCTTAAAAATGGTTCCCTGGACCAGTTTTCTTCATGAACTCCTGGGGCATTTTTTACCCCATATGTTAAATGGGTGTGGAGTAGAAAAACTACCCCAAAGGCAAAATGTTTGAGATTTCTTGGCCCGGGGGGGGGGGATTGGCCTGGGTTTTTTGTTTGTTTGTTTGTTTGCAGAAAGCAAATGGTAAGGCAACTGTTACTTTGGAGCCACTTTCCTCTGCATGCTGCCAAAAAGTACATTCAGAGTAGGACATATTTAATAAAGATAGCAATAATTATTGATGTAGTACACACATTGACAGGATTTGGAACACCTTGCATACCACAAACAAGAAACTCTTACTACTATTTAATCAGATTTGATCAAGAATAAAAGAGAAAGGGAAGAAAAAAAATACACGGAAGTGGATGGTTTTTTTTTAAATTGACAAGCACAGATGAATATCTAAGGAAAGGAAATGAGTGACTGCTCTCCAGATTGTTTGTTTAAACTTAACCTGTATATACATCTGTACTTTTGTTTCCACAGAACAAATAGCCATTTAAGGAGTATAGTTTAAATTGGAAAAGCAGTGTGGGAGGAGGAAGGAATAGCTTTCATCCCAGTGCCACATCCCCAATCAAATTGGCCGTGTCTTCCTGGAGCTGTTTCAGGTCAAGCAAAAAAAACATGCGTGTGGAGAGGCTTAGGGCTGTTAAGTCGCTCGCTTAACAAAGTAGTCGGAGAGTGATTCAGCAAAGATTCAGCTTTATTCCACAACTCCAACACAACTCCAACACGGGTCAACATCTGATAGCCAGAACAGCCTTTACATTGCAGCTGTCCTACTTTTAAACATTCCCGGCTAATGTAGCCACACCCACTGTACAAATACCAACCAATAAGGTTGTTCACATAAGGACCAATCACGGATGTTCCCGCTCAGGGAGCTTGCTTGAAAGTGATTGGTTAGGTGCTTCCTGGGCTAGTAACACGATTGGATGGATTTGGATCCTAGCACAGGACGAAGCTTTACATTACACTTCAGTTAGATGTTTCACAACCTATCATGCATTCAAGGCAGCTTTGAATACACTACAAGGGCCAAACTGGATGTGATGGCATCCTCGTGTCTGCTATGGGGAGACTGCCACCATTTTAAAGTGATCTTAAAACGCCCTGAGGGTCATGTATAGCTTGGCTCTTAAGCCTTTTTCTCCTCATAAGCCAATACTGATCCAAATTGGGCCCACATGTACCTGAGATTTCTTGGAAGTGAAGGATTGGGCGCTGTCCCCCGCCTCCGCTTCATGGCAAGAGAGTCAGATGGCCAGAGAGGCAATTCACTTGCTCCCAGACCTCCCTTCTCCCTGCATGCCCCAAGAGGGACGACACACTGTCCTCTCTTGGCACCACAAAGCAGATTGCCCTCTTGCCATCTGCTTTCATCCTTAGCCAGTAAGCCAGTAGTACTCTATCCTATCTCTCCTCTTTCCTATATAGAGTGCACTTTTAAAATAAAGAGACAAGTAAAGGTAAAGGTTCCCTTGCTCGAAAGCCAGTCAAATCCGACTCTAGGGTTGCGGTGCTCATCTCCGTTTCCAAGCCGAAGAGCCAGCGCTGTCCGAAGATGTTTCCATGGTCATGTGGCCGGCATGACTAGACACCAAGGCGCACGGAACGCTGTTACCTTCCCACCGAAGTGGTACCTATTTATCTACTTGCAATTTCTTGCTTTCGAACTGCTAGGTTGGCAGGAGCTGGAACTAGAGACAGGAGCTCACTCCGTCATGCGGCACACTCGGGTCTCGAACTGCTGAACTACCGATCTTCCGCAGCCTGTAGTTCAGCGTCTTAACCACTTGAGCCACCGCAGCTCCTTAAAGAGACAAGTACTTCTCTTTTAAACTGAAAACGTGGCCCTGTGTAACTCTGTGGCACTCTGTGCTTTGTTACCCTGGTTGAATGCGCTCCTGTGCTAAAAGCTTTATGCACGCTGCTAACTAGTCCGTGGTTACTGGACTAACTATACCAATAAGATTAAGTTCCCACTGTATAGGGTTGCCAGCCTCCAGGTGAGGCCTGGAGATCTCCCGTTTTGACAATCGATCTCCAGCTGACAGAGATCAGCTCCCCTGGAGAAAAGGACTGCTTTGGAGGGGGGACTCTGTGGCCTTGCACCATGCTGAAGCCCCTTCCCAAACCTTCTTCCGGATCCACCCCCAAAGTCTCCAGGTATTTTCCAACCCAGATCTGGCAACCTTACCACCACAGTGCCCACAATATACTCAGAGAAGATCCAGGGAAAAGGTAACAGGTAGATAGGCCCTGTGAAACCCTAAGTTTTACCTGGTTCTGGGCACTGCTGCCCACAGTCACAGGCTGATCCTGACACCCTCCACAGCAAAGCACAATAACAGACTCTCAAAACAGCAAACAGGTAGTTTCTGTGTGCAGATAACTTCAGTATAGCTGCTCTAGAATGGAAAGCAATATTCCCCTGCCCAACTCAATTTTCACTCAGCAGAGACTGAAAAAATCACTGGAAGCTTTCAAGCAATGGCTGGATAGCCATTTGTCAGGAGTGCTCTAGTTAGACTTTCCTGTATTAAATAGCCTTATAAATCCCCGTTCAGCTCTATGAAGGTAATTAACACGGAGCAAATTATGTAATCACATCCTTAAGGCCTTGTCAGGTTCTCATACTGTTGTTTACCTTCGGTCAAGGGTGGACACTGGAGTGGTGGAGAGCGGAAGATGTGCTGGACGCAAGGGTGGATAGTGGGAATCCTTGGCTGTTCTTGTTTCTCTTGATGTTCAGCTGAGGGATATCCTCCTGTAACCTAAGCACATTGGATCTTTCTCTTTGTGTGTTTTTTTCCCTTTCTATAGGTGATCCAGATGTTCTTTGGACAGATGGTGGATGTTTTGGTTTACCTCCATCAGCAAAACATTTTCCATAGGTGAGGAAAACCCGTGTTGCTTTTTTTGCAGTGTTTCTGTGCAATAATATGTGGTGCAAAAACTAAACTCCATTCAGAGGCAGTCATGAGGAAAGGGCTCACCTTTGTACAGGGCAGTCTTTTTGTTGATGAAAACATTCTGATGTGTTGCAGAAACCTCAAACCGTCCAACATCCTTCTAGATGGCGAGGCCTCCTTCATGCTTTGTGATTTCAGCTCTGAAACCCTTATGACTGATGAGATGAAATGGAAGACAAGAGTGGAAGAAGGTAGCAAGGTCCCCCCTCCCCCAATCAGTAGCCCTTTTAAAAAGAAATTTAGCTACAAGAGTTTAAAAAACCCTCAAAAATCACTTTACACCATGTTTATTTTACCTGAATAAACAAGAAAAAAGGTAAAAGTGCCCGGATACAGCTCATAATTTAGGTAACCGGATGTAAAAAATTGTTCTCAAGGCATTAATGGTTTCATTGTTGCTGGGGGTTTTCTCGAATTCTACCTGGGATTAGTTTAGTGGCTCCCGTAGACAAGAACCGACATCCAAAGCACATCTTCACATCCTTCTGCTTTCAATTAGTGCCAGGCATTTCCCACCATTCAGGATGAAGGAGTTGGCAGAAAGATTAGGTTTTCCATGCAGATAATTCACTACTGGACTGCAGATAATTCACGATTGGACTCTTACTCTTTTTTATTGGTTCAGCTGTTTTTGACCCTTGCTTACAACCATTGGGGGGGGGGGGGATGAACAAGGTTCAAAGATAGGAACTAGTTCAAAGATAGGAACTCTCAGGCTGGGGCAAGTGATGCTCTGTATTCTTGGTGCTTGGGGGGGGGGAGTTAGAGGGCTTCTAGTGTCCTGGTCCCACTGGTGGACCTCCTGATGGCACCTGGTATCTTTGGCCACTGTGTGACATGGAGTGTTGGACTGGATGGGCCATTGGCTTCTCTTATGTTCTTAAAGAGAGAATGCTCTCTTTGAGAACGGGATCTCTCTCTGCTGTTGATGTAATGGTTTAGAGCATTGCACTAGGACCAAGGAGAGCCCGATTCAAATCCCTACTTTGCCATGGAAGCTCGCTGGGTGATCTTGGGCCAGTCATGCACTTTCAGCGTAACCTACCTCACAGGCTTGTTTTGAGGGTAAAATGGAGGAGAAGAGAATAATGGAAGCTGCTTTGGGTCCCCACCAGGGAGAAAGGAGGGAATAAAGGAAGTAAATAAATGAATAAATATAACCTAGAAGTAAAAAAAAGAGAGGAGGGAACTTTGGAACAGCACTTTACACATACAGTGAGTTGCAGAGAGTGTTTCAGGAAATCCCAGGGTTCTATGGAAAGTTTATGTGGGGAGGGGAACTCAGTGTCAAGATGATGCAACAGATGTACTGCACCAAAATGGCCAGCTTGAAGGCCCAATAGGACCGGTCAGTGCCCTAGTTAAAGTGAGTGTATGCCCTGTAACATGCCCCAGCATCTTCTGCAATTCATAAGGGTTTCTGTAATTTATTGGGTTAGTCAGGCCAGCTAAAGATCCATAACAATAGCTGGCTAGGATCCTAGAAGACACCAGTAGGGAAGCAAGGATCCTAGAGTAGACTAATGGACAGATAAAAAGGTAAAGGTTCCTTTGCTCGAAAGCCAGTCGAATCCGACTCTAGGGTTGCGGGGCTCATCTCCGTTTCAAAGCCGAAGAGCCGGCGCTGTCCGAAGACATTTCCGTGGTCATGTGGCCGGCATGACTAAACACCAAGGCGCACGGAACGCTGTTACCTTCCCACCGAAGTGGTACCTATTTATCTACTTGCAATTTCTTGCTTTCGAACTGCTAGGTTGGCAGGAGCTGGAACTAGAGACGGGAGCTCACTCCGTCATGCGGCACCCGGGTCTCGAACTGCTGAACTATCGACCACAGCCTGCAGTTCAGCGTCTTAACCACTTGAGCCTTAACCACTTAACAGATAAGGACTTGTAAATAGCCTATCGTTGGGAGTTGGGTGTGGGGGGGGGGGGGGGTACTTTTTCAACCACTTAACAGATAAGGACTTGTAAATAGCCTATCGTTGGGAGTTGGGTGTGGGGGGGGGGCCAGGGGCTTTCAGTCTTTCTTTTCTGTCCTGCTGAAATCACTAATAAATATGAGCTGATCACTGAGCACGTTTGAACCCAGTATATTTCAGTTTCCATGCCAACTTCTCAGAAGTTCAGAAGGTTAAAAGTTTGGGAAGCATTGGGCCTGTGCCACTCAGACTTGCTTCTCCTTTCCACAGAACATTTGTTACCTTCATGTCGACTTCTGTATCAGAAACATTTCACTTCTGTCCTTTGTTCCCACAGCTCCTGACCACAAGTCCTGGATGGCACCAGAAGCACTCAGGTTTTTCTTCAGTGGCAAATCGGACATCTGGTCTCTTGGCTGCATTCTGCTTGATATGCTAAACTGCTCCTATCTGCATGTATGTAGGGGTTTGATTTCCTGACTGTAACTATGAAAAAAGGATTTAAAAAGTAATTATAACCCAACCCAGCCTGACACTGAACTTGTTGGAAATGTATGTGTTTACAAGGTCTGATGATTCAGTCATTATAGGGTTAACTTGTATTCCTAGAATTGCTCTTGTTTAGACTGACCTGGAAGGGATACCTGGCACTAAGCCAATGGGGAATTAGCCCGGGAAAAGTAGCTTCTACTGTGATACAGATTGGTCATTTGTTTCAGGTGACTTCCTTTCTAGGCGTCAAGAAGAAGGAGAGATTCCCCATTATCTGTGTGCTAGGTTTGACTATAGGCAGCTTAGAAATGTAGCTGTTAGTGTTATGTTAATTTGTAGTAATCCCGTGAACCCTTTACCCTTAGAAATAAAGGTTTTTTTAAAGCAAAGAAATCTCTTCTTTCCAATAGAGCAAGATCCATTAATAGTCTAAGTATTAAACACTTTTTGACTATTTTACAACAGAACTGACGCTTCTGCCGATGGTTATCACTCATTGCAGGTCTCCGGGTCAGGCAGACAAAAGAGATTCTATTACAACCCACAGTGTCTTCTCAGGATCTATGTCAATATCCTGATGTTCCATTAAAGTGCTTTAGTATAGAGCCAGAAATGTGATAAAAGGAAGCTTTGACTCTCGAAATAGATTTCAGGATGTACAAAAGAAAATACCGTAGTTCTTTATACATCAAATAGTTAAACTGTGGAATTATCTGCCAGAAAATGTAGTGATGGCCACAGGCATAGACAGCTTTAAAAGGCAGATTCATGGAGCAGAGGTCTATCAGTGGCTGCTAGCCACGGTGACTGAGGGGAACCTCCGCATTCGGGGGCACTAATCCTCTGAATCCCAGAGCCAGGAGGCAACCTCGGGAAGGCCTCGGCCTCTATGCCCTGTTGTGGGCCATCCAGAGGAGCTGGTTGGCCACAGTGTGAGACAGGATGCTGGACTGGATGGACCCTCCCTGGTCTGATCTGGCAGCTTATGAAAGCTCATACCCCCAAACACCTTGTTGGTTTCTAAGGTGCTACTGGACTAGAATCCAGGTGTTCTGCTGTAGACCAGGACAGCCACCCTCTGAAACTGTCTTCCTAAAACTGTACACTGTCCCAGAATTGTCACACAATTCCTTCAGATAAGCATAAAAGAAAGGGAGGAAGTGGGACTCTGTAGGATCACAGCATGGTTTAAAGCAGAGCATGAATCTCTGCCCCTCAGCAACCACAGCTAGAGTGCGAAAGAGAGCACAGAAGACACAAATCCGCCTGGGGGAGGGGTTTTTCTGGGCCCTGGGCCCTGCCTCTGACTCCCTAAAGGGGTCTGCGTCACCCTTTCAGAGCTATGGGCTTCTAAAAAAGACCTTTCTGGCATTGCCAGCTCCACTGGAATGAATCTCCAGAGAGAATGACCAATTTCTCACAAGCAGCTGTGCCGCCCTCACTGTTCTGTTTCCCCCGCTTGCATTGGTCAATTTCACACTATTCGCTGCACGGCCACATTTTGACCCGCAGCTACCCCCAATTTCCCCCGCGTCTTCTCGATCCTTGTTTTTTGGGATTGAGAAGATGTGGGGGAAATAGAGGGGAGATGCAGGTCAAAATGTGGCCTCACAGCAAATAGTGTGAAATTGACCAATGCAAGTGGGGAAACCAGAAGAGTGAGGGCGGCACAGCTGCTTGTGGGGAATCGGTCAATATGTGCAGACGTGATGCTTTCTTTTCTTTCTTTTCAGGAAGAGGAAGCCATTGCATTGTTGGGCAGAATTAAAGAAAGTAGCCTTAGTCTTGAGAATGCCCTGAGGTGTATGAGGCAAGAGGGCACACCCATCTCTGCCATCCTGCTTCTGATGTTGCAGATCCAGCCGATGATGAGGCCCACAGCATGGTGAGTCCCTCTTCACTTCTCCCTGTCACAAAACGTCATTTGATGAAGTCACCACCAGTTATGTATTTTGGCTGTATTATAAGACAGCTTGAGCTCCTTAAGGAAGAAAGGCAGCTAATAAATATTTTAAATAAATAAATAAAATAAATATAAATAACAGATGTTTGCTAATACCTTGCTGGACTCCTCTAAGTTGCTCTTGACCAGTTTCGTGATTCCTCCAACTGCTTTTCACATTTCTGCAGAGCACTTTCCCTTCTGTCGAGGAACGGGTGCCCCCTTTTGGACTGTGTAAAATCAAGCCAGATTTTTATTGCAGGAGAGGGTTATTATGAGAACTCTTGGGCTCTTGTTTTTAAATGTCTCTTCAAATCAGACGATCTTCGACGTGGTCTCTGTGCATTCACACCCATGGGATCTAGTGCGCATGCGCTGGATCGATCGACATTGTAGCAAGCTCTTTAACGGATTTTCGCGCCCAGACCTTGGGCATGCACAGGAACCCCACCGCGCATGCCCAGAGGGGAGGGCGCGGACATTTTCCGACAGTTTCTTTCTTACCGCCGCGTTGGAAAGATCTCTTTCTTCGTCGGTCTGATCGGCTCGCGTGTTTTGGCTTTTTTCCTCACGGCTCTTTGGATTTTCCCCTCAGTTTATTCCTTTTTTCCGTTGTTCTTTCAAATAACTTTAAAAAGAACTTCCGGTTTGGGCGCTTTGAACAATGGCGGCATCTCTGGGGTCCTCCGTGAGACGTGTGCCATGAATCAGGGATTAGGAGGGAGCGTGATTGTGCCTATGGGCTTCTAGCCAGGGGCTTTGGAGAGCCCTACCTCCGGCCGGTAGCCGGTACAGGGGGGCTACTCTCTGCCCTGAAGGTCCTGCCCTGATTCCCAGTATTGGATTAGAAGCGACCACCGGAACAAGCATTTGGAGGTTTAGCGATTTTCTCTGCCTGGCGTGATCCCAGGGGCCGTCGTAAAGTGTTGAGTAGTTGTTTGTCGTGAAAACGAGACACTAAAGCCTAGAAGTGAAGTTCCTCCACTACAAGCGTATAAACGGAGGGGGGGGAGGGGACGCCCTATCTCCCGACGTTTTAAGCAAATGCGAAAGCAAGGAGGGAGGGACTGATCAAACTGTGGCGATGGACTGTAGCGGAGAGTTTTTCTAAAAGAAAGTGAAGTGTTTAAACAGACCTTAGAGACTTTGGCATTCTTTCTCAGCTGATGTGAACATCCCCAAAAGATGGCGACGAGAGGCGAAGAGGGAGGCGGGACCAATGCTTTCTTCAGAAAGGAGGACAGTGGAAAGTTAGGTTGTGACCTAACCATAGACTCTGTCTTTAAAGTGAATCGTGGGCCCTCTGATGGCTAAAGTGAGAAGTGATCTGGATCTGTACTAAAAACAGCTACACTTTTAAAGGGACAGTACGTTGATCATAGAGACTCTAAGTTTAGTTCTTTGTGGCTGGACTGGCAAAATGGCTAAAGTGAGAAGTGATCTGGATCTGTACTAAAAACAGCTACACTTTTAAAGGGACAGTACGTTGATCATAGAGACTCTAAGTTTAGTTCTTTGTGGCTGGACTGGCAAACTGATCGAAAAGCGTGTTTGTTTGTTTTTTGAGTAAAGGGCTCGCTACCCTAACTTTATATAAAAAAAGTCCCAGGAAAAAAGGAATTTGGTTTATATCATGAATGGACAGATCCGGACTTATAAAAACTAAAAGATAATTGAAGAAAGAAGATATATCGAAGACGGAAGAAGGAAAACATGTTGTAATGTTCTTACTGAGGGAACATTGGTTTCAAAGAATTTGCCTG